ATCCCCCCGCCACCTTGTTCTAACTTGTGTCTCTTGCTCTCTCAGTGTGGCCACGTTCCATTTTCTTCTCCCTAGCTGCTTGTTTGCATTCCCAGCGGAAGTCAAGAGCCCTTCAGGTAAAGGCAAACAGGTGGTTATCCTGTGAAGGTGGTTGGTTCCCTTGGGTAACCCTTCAGCAAGGATCCCTAGAGAAGTTTTGCATAGCAAACCCAGCCTGGCTCAGAGTTCAGCTGACCTTTTTTGGGAGGGAATGAAAGTGAAAATTGTGTTGTCACCCATAGCTTAATCATCTATGTCCTCTGAGCCCAGATTTCCTGGTAGTGGAGACCGACAGTCTTTGGGGAGGGGTCCCCACAGAGAAGGGTATGAGTATATCTGCCAGGCTGCTTCCAGATACCAATTGATTTTGTAGAAAATGGTTTTCAAGACACTGACAGCCAAGTAGGCATGAATTATGGGTGGTAAAGACCCTCCCGTCCAGGAAGCAAGTGGGCCCTAGGGACAGCCGTAATAAGAAGGTGCTAGCGCTCTTCTTTGGGAAATTCATCCATCTTGTGGGTGGTGCCCATTAGAACAAACCACGTCTGATTTCAAGCCAACTTCCTCAAGGGCAAACACCTGCCATGCAGACTGAAGGCCACCCAGATTTCTTAACACGGGATCTCTTGTCTTTCTCAGGAGCAGCCTGTATCCTTGGCATACACTGGACCGGCAGTCATAATTTTTCCCTTTATTCTCTTAACCGAACTCTGAAGGATAAAGTTGGTATGTTCGTCATTGCTGAGATGGGAGTTGCCTGTTCTCAGGGCTTACAGAACTGCTTAGTGAGCTTGACTGAGATTATTGTGTGTTGGACACTTAGAGTCACTTAAAGAGGTCCAGAAGTAGGTGGCTGGGGTTCTGGGGTGTGACCCCAGGGGTCTGCTCTTGGATTGCCGTGTTTCCTAAAGATCATACGTCAACAAGGTGGAAGCCCAGAGTCAGGCTCACAGGTCCTCTTAGGGCAGCTAGGGTAAAAGAGAGTGGCTTGGCATGGGAAGGCCAGGAGCCTAGTCATGTAACCTCAGACTAGTCACTGCCCGTTCCAATTCCCTGTTACATGGTCTGAAACACAAGCTAATCACACCATGCACTGAATAGCAAAATCAGAGTTTTTATATGTAAAAGCTCATTGAAACTGAAAAACATGAAGGAAATATAAGGTGATTGTTGTTGTTGTTAAGTGCTGTGGAGTTGGTTTTGACCCATAGTCACCCTGTACAAGGTTTTCGAGGTGCGGCTGGGGAGTTTGAACCACTGACCTTGTGGTTCAAACTGACTTTGCAGTCCAGTGCTCTATCCCACAAGGCCACACCAGGACTCCCTATAAGGTGATGGTGGTTGTTATAAGGATCCCTGGTGGCACAGTGGTTAAATGCTAACTAAAAGGTTGGTTGTTCAAACCCTCTAGCCACGCCCCAGGACAAAGTGTGGCCTCTGCTTGGGTCAAAATTTACAGCCTTAGAAACCCCATGGGCAGTTCTAGTCAAGCCTATAAGATCATTACAAGTCAGAATACAGCTCTCTGGCAATGGGAGTGGGTTCTTATTATCTATGTGATATAAGGGGTTATCTAAAAATTTGTGGGAAAATTCCCATTATCTTTTAATTCTATTTTCCCATGAACTATTTGAAGCTCCTTCATGTATATGTATGTATATGTATATATATGTATGTATATGGACAACATTGAGAAGTATGAGTATTCCAGAACACTTAATTGTACTTCTGAGAAATCTTTACCTGGACCAAGAG